GGCTGAGTATTGTTTGGCTATTGTTTGGGGTACAACAGAACAGAGAGGCACAGGCAAAAAGTAAGGAAGCCAAGCAGTAGCTTGTGAGCACAGTGTGACCATGGAAAAAGCTAGAGAGAGCTTTTGGGTCTGGTGCTGGCTAAAGAGGCTCCAAGCTGTAAGCTAAGAAACTGCCCCTTTTTGTTTCTGGTTCCTCCTGCATTTGGAGAAGCAGGACTTTGTACCTTTCCTTATAAATAAACAAGACTGCAAAGAAAATAGCAGACTCCATCAATTTCTGCTTCCAACTGGAACATCCCCAGAGCCCTGAAATTTGACTTCCCGCTTTTCAACCTGAATGGCTACTGTACCATTCTTTGGGAACATTTCTACCAGAAGTCCTCATGGGAGACTGGGCCTAGGTCTAACACTTCTTTTCTCTGTTCTGATGGAAGGTCCAACTGAAATGTGGAAATTATCTATCTCCTTTCTCCAGAGAGGGAAGAAGGCAAAAGATAGTGTATTTAACGGTGAGGACAGAGTCACCTAGCCTAATGGAAATAAGGTCACCCTGTTAAATATCTCAATACTAGCAGTATCATCTTCTGCAGTTCACTTCCCCTTGGAATTAACTAATTACACCTCTACCTCAATATAACGCTGTCCTCGGGAGCCAAAAAATCTTACCGCGTTATAGGAGAAACCGCGTTATATTGAACTTGCTTTGATCCGCCGGAGTGCGCAGCCCCCCGGAGCACTGCTTCACCGCGTTATATCCAAATTCGTGTTATATCGGGTCGCGTTCTATCGAGGTAGAGGTGTACTTTCTTAAAGATTAGTGTCACGGGGCATGGGGGAATGGGCAGTTTATTTTTATTTTTAAAAGTGTACAAGCAGCAGCTTAAGCACAAGAATTCGGGAGTCCTGCTTCTGAATTTTAGGCCCAAATATGACACAACATATGGGTAAATTACTTGTCCCCTCTCCATTATTTCACCAGTATTGGGCAGTCACCATAGAATCATAGGACTGGAAGGGAATTCGAGAGATCTTCTAATCCAGTCCCCTGCACTCAAGGCAGGACTAGGTATTATTTAGACAATCCCTGACAGGTGTTTGTCTAACCTGCTCTTAAAAATCTCCAGTGACAGAGATTCCACAGGCAATTTATTCCAGTGCTTAACTACCCTAGTAGATAGGAATCTTTTCCTAATGTCCATCCTAAACCCCCCTTCCTGCAATTACAGCCCATTGCTTCTTGGCCTAGCCTGAGCGGTTAATAAGAACAATTTTTCTCTCTCTTCCTTGCAAAAAACTTTTATGTACTTATGTTATCATGTCCCCCCAAAGTCTTCTCTCCTCCAGACTAAACCAACTCAGTTTTTTCACTCTTCCCTCATAGGTCATGTTTTCTAGCCCTTGAATCATGTGTGTTGCTCTTCTGTGGACTCTCTCCAATTTGTCTACATCTTTCCTGAAATGTGGCACCCAGAACTGGACACAATACTCCAGCTGAGGCCTAATCAGTGTGGCGTAGAACAGAAAAATTACTTCTTGTGTCTTGCTTCGTTGCTTCCTACCATGCTTCCCAGCACACTGCAGCACATAAGCTTACCTAGCTGCACTGAAAGAATACAAAATTAACTCGCTGCTTTAGAAAAATACTCCAACTTCAGTTTGGGACAATGTTGACTTTGGAATCTGAAGGTGGGAGAGTCTCAACCAAAGCTACCATTTTAGAATCACAAATGAAACACCTGAAAATAACTATGGCTGGTTCCTTATCAGTAGCCACGACACCATCTCCTACACCATTTGTGTAACGAATATTTACTTCAATAAAGTGTGAGTGCCTGAGGTTTCAAAGAGATGAAGCTTAAGAGAGTTCGAGAGACAGCTTTCCAAACTAAAGTATAATACAAAGGCTCTGATGTGGAAAAATCACTGCCACGTATTGGGAATCTAATTTGGCTAAGCAAGTGTTTTCTTCAGTGGTTCTTGCTACTGTTAAATATTTTATGCATGCAATTTATGAAGTACAATACTGTTCTTCATTTAAACTTTGACAAGCGGTTCAGAGGATGAGCAGCTTTGTTTTTAGACTATGACCAAAATTCTTCACACATTTGTTAAGCACTTAGCTGGCCTACAAAATGTCTTATGAACATGGAGTCTGTCCCATCACCTAGCCACCTACCCTCCTTGAATGATCTCCAAGGAAAGAAGAATGCCGTAGAAAGTGCTGTTGGCAATTTGACACACAGCACTCTCACCAATAGTACAGGATGGTGTTTGGGGAAGCAGTGTTCACTTATAGTCATTAAAGACTGTTTGGCATTTTTCCACAAGAATAAGGTTATTACATATTTGGATAACTGCATTCCACCTCCATAAAATTTTACTGCCACTTAAAGTGGCTGTATGTCCTGTCAAACTGTTGTTTACAATTTCTCAACACTATTATTAGTGGCTATAACTTATGGAAGTGGTAGAGGTAGTTCAGCTTTTGGTGAAATTTAAAAGAATAACAGTCGTTTAAAGCCATATAAGTACCTAAGACAGACACAAAAAAGGTGGCTTCTTCCTATTTTAAGTTCAACACTGAGTTATTATAGGACTACAATGGGGAATACTGACCATTTGAGGTCAGAGAGGGAAGTCTGGGAAGCCAGGCTACCCTGTTCCAGGAGTCCCAGAGCAGTCAAAGGCCTAGGGAACAGCAGAGGCAGATGCTGGAAGAAACAGATGGTCCCAGAATAATAGTGTCTGGAAGAAACCAGGACCAGGAGCCTTGTAGTGTAGAGTGGGATGGGGCATAGCTTCCTTACCCCCCAATCCCCCGGCCATCCAGGACAAATTCTGGGAAGGAGAGCAGCATATAATCTATGTCTTCCCTCACATGGGTGTAAAAAAGCTTAAAGAAATGTAAAAGAAATGCCAGAAAAGAGCGCAACAAGTAAACAGAGCTAGGAAACAACAGGCCATGAAAAGCCATTTTATACTATAACAAGCCAGCAGCTGTCTCTCTAGCTGCATAACTCAGGCAAGCAGTCTCCTCCTATACTTCCTATTTCTTTATGATAGGCACCTCTCAATATCCCAAGCAGATTTACTTCAACATCTTCTTTAATGGAGCAGTAGCCCCGTCAGCCACTAACCTGGACTGCAGCTTGCTGGTACTTCGCCTGACAAGCCTGCCTCCCCTTTATGTTAAGTGAAGGCAGGGGTCTGGGAGACAGGAGATAGAACTCACTGCCCTGAAACAACGTCAGCTGCATAAAATTCTATGGTCTGGAGATTAAGGAACTGGTGTTGCTCCCCAGCGACATAAGTGGCTTCAATTGCAAACAGTACAAGTTTCTGAAAGTATTAAAATATGGGAAGATGCAAGGCATAAAGACTAGACAGCATCTGAAGACAACTACATCATGAGGTATTTCAGGATAGCCTATACGTCATTCCCTCATCTTATTTTTTGAGGATGCCTCTAGCACCACACTTCTATTAATATGCTCTTTAAAACTTGACTTTGAGTACAAATTAACAATAAATATACTGCAAAAAGTAGCAAGTAGTTTCAGTAGATGAGCCTGGGTCTTGATCCTTATGAATATATGCATACGCTTCTTGTTACAGCAGTGAGAAACAGACCTCCCTTTTACAGATAGATTTTGGTCCTAGCTATGGAATTGTCCTTTAGCACCAACCCCTGCCTGCTAACAGTCCACCTGCAGATTAACAAGAGTCTCTATAAAAAAAATTGGAACCCCCCCCCCCCACAAAGTTAGACCCCAATGTGTTCTTACCTCTCAAAAGGATAAAAGTAGGATTTAAAACACAGGCCAAGCCATTTTCTAGACCAAGAGATTTCTGTAAGTCTCAAACTCTTATTTTTAGTGATACGCTGCCATCTGTACTAGCTTCCTGTTATACTGAGATGAAGCTTTACTGGCAGACGGAAGACTACGGAAAACCACTCGGCTGAGACATTTGAGGCGTACAACTCACCATCAGCCCCCACCAAAACATCAGAGTACACACATCCCACTCAATTTTTGAAATTCATGATTACGATGGATGGATACCTTCAGTGATCAAAAGTGGGATACAAAACCTCTCAGACAAGTCACTAGTTCAAATCCAATCCAGGTTAGCTGGTCCATTCTGTAATAGCTGTTCAGTGGCCTATGTGAAATGAGTTGATGTCACTCCAGTTCTTGTTGGCTAGATGTCCATATCACTCACAGCCCTCTCGTTAGCAGTCTCTGCAGAGTTCAGGGACTGAATTTAGCACACAACATTAACAACCCTCTTCTCTACAGGGCGTGGCTGAGGCATGTTGGTGAGGAAACCTAGGATTTTTGCCACGTCTCCAGGGCTGTCACTGGAACCTTTTATTAACACCAAAATACCACATCAGGGAGCTTTCATGTTTGCAGCAAGCATCTGTTAAACTTTCTCTAGCCTTGTCTTCTTTTCTACCATTTCCCTCAAATCAACAGATTATGCAAGAAGGTAACAAGCAGTCACAAGACATTTTATTTTATTCACTCGCTATCTCAGAGCTATGAGTATCCCAGTCTAAGAGCTACTAGTCTAAATTATATGGGAAAATCTTTCACAGCATTCTGAATAATTTGCTGACCACTTTGGAAAAAAAAGAGCTAGATTTTTCAGAACTATACATGCATATTTGCATTTTCTACTGCATGTATAGGCATGTCAGTGAGATTCATTCCTGGCCATTTGCATATATGTAGTTCAAAATAATCTGGATCAAGATGTATTCTCAGCCTGCAAGCTAGGTTCATAATAGGGCTCGTACTGGAACTATAGCAGTCTACTTTCATAGAATTAGCAAGGTAAAATTTGCACCATTCAAAATTAAAATCCTGTCTGACTCAAAAGAAAACAGGCTTGGAAATTTATTGTATTTTGCTTCATACCAGCCTTCGACAACAAGAATAGGGAATCACTTTAAAAGATCTCACACGTCTCCTTTTTATCCAATGAGAAAAAAGTTAAAGCCAAAGTTTTATTTTGTCCCTCAAAGTTTCCCATACACAGTTTCCTGTATCAAATAACTTGGAAAAAATGCCTTAGAAACATTTTTAAATGAGTACGCATGGTCTTGTTAACTGAAGTTAACAGGAAATGGTTTCCAGTTGGGTTGGGGTTTTTTTTGGCTCCACTAGATTATGCTTTCAGTACCAATACAACAAAACCCCTAGTGTAGAAAGACACTGGTAGTCTCCTGGAAATGTCTTGGATTAGTTAGACTGCCATATCATAAAGTGCTTCTTGTATTCAGAACCATAAAGCTGTAAAATGTCCTTTCTGCAACAAGGAGAAAGAGAATTCCCAATATGGTACTTCAGTTTAGTTCCTTCCAGTTATGTCTGGGTATTGGCACAGCCATTTATTAGCCTCCGAGGCGCTGACCTTCACCCCATGCAAATCCTCCTGGTCGCTCTTCGGGCAGCGGATTGTAATTGGGATCATCTTCTGGTGTATCAAACATTGCTTTCCTGAAAAGCAGAAGTTATATGTAAATACACAGTTCAACTTGAGGCAAGCAGTCAATGTAACATTCTCACTACAAGATACAGTATGCAATAGTGTCAGTCATTTAAATCCAAGTCACATTTGTCCTCTAGTTGAGATCCAGTCAGCTCATATAGGGCAGATCCTATGATGCAAGCCCTTCAAAATTAAAAGTTTAAATAAGAAGATCATATAAGACTCAAGTTCAAATATACCTTACTCCTGACAACAGGGTCAGTGAAGTTGAATCGGTAGCCTTGTCTACAGCAGCTACAGAAGCCACATTAGCACATCTCTAGCAAAATATATCTAAACATACTTAAAAGAACAACATTAAAAGTTTTCTTAGCCGGTGGAGACATGACCCAACTTAAAACAATTTACAGGAACATGCTACAGACTAGGTGGGACCAAGATATTGGGTGAAGTATTTTAAAGACCACCAATGAGGCTGGAATAATTAGTCAAGTCCTTGATTTACCTCAAAAACCTTCAGTATCCTTTCACTAGCAGCCTCTATAAATATAGTTTTGTAACCTAGTTAATAGCACAGTTCAGCCACGGCAATTCTAGTCACTGAGCCATATTATCACCTTTTGGCAAGAATCCTATAAAGAGAAAATGTAAAATTTTCTGACTAATGAGTCTAAGGCTTGGTCTACATTACAGAGTTAGGTCGCCGCAAGGCAGTTTATGTCAACCTAATTATGTCAGTGTACACGCTACAGCCTTGCTCCCACCTATGTAAGTACCCGACTACACTGACATAACTCCACCTCCAGGAGAGGTGAAGGGCTTATGTCGGTGCAGTTAGGGTGATGCAGTGTCCCGGTAGACACTGCATTACTATCATCGGCTGTTGGCTGTCATTCTTGTCAATTTCTCGGCCCCCGCTGGCTGCCCTGAGGCTCCTGGCTCCCCCGCCGGGACACAGAACTCCCTGCTGGGAGCCTGAGGGGCTGAGGGGGGCACCCAGGCGCCTGGCGGTGGGGAGCCAAGAGCCCAAGGGGTAGGGAGGGGGAGCTGGGCTCCCGGCGGGAAGCTGCATGTGGAGCTGAGAGCCCGGGCTCTCAGCCCTCCATACTGCCCCTCTTATGTCAGTGGAAGTGCTTCTCATGAGGACATGCATCTATACGGGGGGAACTGACCATATCTATTGCAGAATAACTATTCCATTATAGCTATTGCAGAATAACTATTCCATTACAGCTATTCCAGTATAATTTAGTTATCCTGCAATAACTCCTTCGTGTGAGCACTCTATTCTGGAATGAGTGATTTTATTCCAAAATAATTACTCATCTATCAAAGCAAAGTAATTAGTCCAGAATAAAAATCACTTTTATTCCAGAAGAGTGTCCACATGGGAGACTTATTCTCAACAGCTATGCCAGTCAATTTTCCCGTGTACACAAGGCCTTACTTGTTTAAAATATCAGGTTTAGAAATCAGATCTAGACAGGATCAACTCAGCAATACATCATTCTGAAGGCAAGAATGCCAGACAGTTTGCGGTCTTAAAAAATGAGGTCTTGTCTGCTCTACACAGAGAATTTTCAAGAGGTTTACCCCGTCCTTCAGGAAAGTTCCCCATATCCATTCTAGTGTGCAGTGTTCCAGTTGGTTACTATTCTCTGCCCAAGAGATGAAAGAATATGAATGGCACTGTGTGAACAGCACATAGTCTATCATGTGTTTTATGATCCTTTTGGATGGTGGGGAGGGAAGGGAGTAGCTACCCAAGTGTAAGATATTAGCCACATTAAGCTTCTCACTCATTTTGTGTATTTTGCACTCTGAACTCATACTGACACTTTGTCTTAAAACGGGTTTCTTTTAACAGATTCAGATATATTTGGTGCCACCAACAGGCAAACTGTATTACGGATTTTAGTTAGCATAGGAGTTCTTGGACCTTTTCAGAAGTTAGACCATGTCTTAAGAGTGTCTCTTGGATCCTCTCCCCCTCTGGCAACTGTAACACCCATGTGACAACTACAGCAAATGGAACAGTATGATGAACTCAGTGCCATTTATCTCAAATTTCCAAATTTACTTGTATTTGAATTAGTTTAAAAAAAACATTGTGTACAAACACATTTGTCCATGTGCTCCAAATTAGAAGGTAACACTTACAAAATAGATGGTGTTTTCAGAAGCCGTCCACCACCAGGCTGATTAGGAAAGATATCCTCTAGGAAAAAATATATGTGTCCAACTGCGATCCCTAGAATCAATAAAAAAGAAAGCTGAAGTTGAACTGGTGACTTTCAATATTGCCATTATACCACCTTTAAAATGTTTCACTAGATTTTTCATAAAATAAAAAAAAGACAAGTTGTGTTTGATACCCTGTGTAAATAGCATGATGTTAAAAGGAACTGAAGTAGCATGGTACATACTCACCGCAATATAAAATACTAGAATTAAATGCCATACTAGAAGAGATCTATAGCATAGTGAGTCATATAAATACAAGGAAAAGTCTGTCACAACTGTCTAAACACTTTGGTGGTATGGTTTCATTTGTACTGACAAAAAGGTCAGAATGCAAGCTGCCATACACAATTAAGTCTCATGTCCATAGTTAGCCATGGATATCTGGCTCTCTCCAAGTAATGGAGAAGCAAAACACTGCACTACTTGGAGACGTTACAACACAGAGTATGCCACCATGTACAAGAACAATGAAAACTGGTAGAACACAGTACTCTGTACATCAGAGCATGTAAACAATTAGGTCACAACAAAATATAACCATGTGGCCTCCTTGCTGCTTTTAATTTTTTTCCCTATATGAAAGAGATTAATAGACACTACCAATTGAATGAACTGACTCCTTTAGTTAAAGGTTTGTCACCTTAATCCCTCAGAGTATAAAACTCACTATTCAGCTAAGGTCCCATTTCAGAACGAAAAACTTTTTCAGAAGTCTTTAATGTGGAGGACTGTTTCCTCTTCCAAAAGAAATATAGAATGTATCAGACAATAAGTTGTTCAAAACACTTTGGAAAACAAGTCTTTTTTAAAAAAAGTTGAAATATCAGAAATACCAAAGTTACAAATATTTGTCAGATGTGTACCAAGATAAACTGAGCAAGACAGGTAGAGGTAGCCTTTGGAACAGGGTTATGCAGTAAAACCTCTCAGATCCCAGGAAGAGTATTCGATCTGATACAATCACTCATGCAATAAGCCAATCCCAGACCATCGCTCCAGCTCTGAAGACTTCCCCAACCCAGTTTCTTCTCTAGAAGGGTGGCCCGATTTCTGCTCAGCTGTGTGCAGTGAGCGCTTCTGGATCTGAGATAATTCCGAAAATCCTTGTCCTGGCAGTCACAGCACTTTCTTTTGAAATACCAGTGGGGCCAGTACAAAGGATTATTGATGTGTGTGGAAACTAAAGATTTCCAATACGCACACCTGATTAGAAGAAGTGACTCTCAGAGGAAGCACCACAAAGGGGGAACTGTTCATGAGAGAGAAAAGATTAAGAGATCCATCACCTAAACCATCCAGGCTAATCCTGAAACCATAATCAACCCTGTCATTGGAAGTTTATGGATATCTACTTACCTCTCTAGTAGTGCATCAAAGCATAAATAGCCAACATGGCTTGATAACCTCTTTCTCTTTGCAGGAAGAGGTACTAAGTAGGGGGAGAAGAGACTTTACCTACCAGTAGTTTATGATGGAGTGGCCAAAAAGTCTAAGGATTTCATTTTTCATAGCTTCTTACCCAAAAGATCCACAATGATGGAGTTCCCCAATAGCAATGAAAAGCCCATGAGTACCCAGGGCAGAAATGGGGCCTGGAAGATGAGAAGACCAAAAAAGTTCATACGGACGTAGGGATTCCTGCGGCTCCACACATACACGAGCATTATTGTAAAGGCCTGACCCAGGAAAACCAAGTTCACAAACAAGCCAAAAAGCTGACACAAACAGTTAAAGAAAATATCAGTGCACATGACCAACTTGTAGAAAACTGAAATATGAATATGCGGGAGACGGGAACCTATAGGCTGCAGGAAAAAAAAATCGTTTTGGAGGCCAATCATGGCATCAACAAAAATAGACACACCTGACCTTTGAGTCTATGGTTTTCCAAACAAACTTAATTATTTCCTCAGTCAAACAAGACACCTATAGTTTAATCCCCCTTAAATACTCCACGCTGCAAATACACTATGAGGGGTTTATTATTACAGAAGCTATTTTACACACAGCATCTATATTGTGTGTGTGGGGGGGGTGTAAATTCACCTGGACAATAACATTTCCTTCAATCTTCATGATAATACTTGTACAGTTAAATAGCATCTTTCAATCTAGGATCTCATCTTTATAGCCTTAACTCAAATATTTAAGTTCAAAAGATCAATTCCACATTTAATAGTAACCACAAGATCTGGAAAGTTTTGAAGCCCACTTAAAATAGAGTCATTCAGACCTCATTATACAAAAAAAGTATTTCTCTATTCATTGACTTTCAAAGCACACAGTTTGTGTTCTCCGTGTTAATGGTAGCTGTATTAAAACAGTAAAAAAGGATACAGTCATTAAAAGTCCACCAAAAAGGAACATAAATACAAAGTCTGCCGTCCGACCTCGGAAAGACCCCTCCTCAAGCATTCGGCAGTAACGATATCTGAAGGTGTAGGTCAGGAAAGTGTGATATTAATCACATTCAGCAGAAAGATTAAGAAAAAAAACAGCTTTTTACATACCTTCACATAGGTTTTATATACAGAATTCCCAAACATCCTTCACAATCGAAGGATTTTTATAGTAGATTATCAAGCAAGTATTGAAACTGCATGAAGTAAATTTGATGGTCTCAGTCCAGTTCTGAGTTAGTGGACAAGTATTCACACCACAGAAAAAATACCTGCCCAATTAGCAGTCTTACTGGCTATTTAGCAGAAAAGTCTGGTACTACAGAATGAATTCTCACTCCTAGTAGTGTGCATTCCAAATCAAGATCGAAACAATGAAAGCTCACTGAAAAAGAATTACTAAATTAGGTATTTAGGATGAAATCCTGGCTCCACTGAAGTCAGTGGCACAGAACTCCGACTGAGGTCACAATGTGGTGCAGAACTGGAGCCTTGTACAGTAACACAGACACACAGTTTTGCATTCCAAAGAGGTGAGATACACTTTTTATAAAGGATACAAAAAAATCATATTAAATAAAAAATTAAATCCAACTGGCCCAAAGAATAAGTAGTTTGTAATCAACCGCCATACCTGTCAGAATAAGAGGAAAACAGATAAGACAACTTAAATATAAATGGTACCCATCTCAAGTATTTAAATTCTCTACATAGAGAATACAGAAAGAAGTTTCTGTTTGATCCACACAAGCTAAAAGAACTTTATGAAAATGGTTTTTGAACATTGTAATAAGCCAATTTAATGATCTTTTTCAATAGTCTGAGAGACTAAAATTCAGTAAACCGTACTACTCTGCATTAAAGACTTGGGAATACATTGCTATACTCAAATTTTCCAAGTAAACAAAGGCATATTTAAAAACAAAAATATATTTTGCTCATCTTGGCAGTTTAGTTTTAATTATATGCAATACTTAATAGTATATTAGTAAATATAAGGTAACATATTTTGTAAAAATAGCAAAGTCTTGGTCTTATAAGACTTCATGACAGCACTTCCTTTTAATTTTTTGCAGAGAAGAAAATTGAAACCCTAAATTTTGTATGACAATTACTGGGTTTGCAGGCTAGGTGAGTGATGCATCATATCAAAATTCCTCTCCACAATGAAATATAGACTTGGATTGAAGCAAGATTAGTTCATCTTTAGGAAAGCTAAAGCAATGTTTCACTACCGTAAGTAAAATGTGTGGTCAGATTAATTTTTTTGAATTCTGTCAGAGGTCAGTATGATTACTTAGAAACATAATTCTGCATGAAGTAGGAGTAAGGACATCTTGTCAGTTTAACAATTCAGCTGTATTTCAGAACCAACAAGCTTTCATTGTAAGCAATTTTTTGGCTTTGTTATTGTGTTAACAGTTGAGCTGAATCAGTCAGACACATCTTGGCCCCTTGAAACAATCTTTCAGAAGAATCTTTAGTTTGATAGTAGGTGTTGCTCCTTCGGATGCCTGGTCACTTGAGAAGAGCTGGCAGGCAGAAAGAGTGGCTAAGCACCTGACTAACTAACTTTTAATCCATGCGAAGACTGCCCAAAGTTTTATCAAGTTTATTTGACTTTTAACACTGCTTTAGTATGAGCATTCTGAGTAATACGACAATATTACCTAGACTACTGCATCTGAAATTATGTCCCCAAAATAAGACAGAAGAGCACCATCACACAAAACATACACATTGCAAAATGGAAGGAAATTACTCTGCAAGTTAGACTGAAAACATGTAAAAAGAAAGATTACTCCTGGGGGAATTCTGTGCCACCGCACATGCGCAGAATTGATGTCCCCGGCAGATTTCTTTGCTTCTCTGCAGAAAAATGACTTTCTGACGGGGAAGCAAAGGGAAGCCACAAGAGCGGTCATGTGACCCTCCCCAACAGTATTTTTCAAGTGCCCAGGGCAGCCAGCAGAAAGGTAAATCACTGTGGGGCAGGGGGCGGGACTGAGGAAGACCTGGCTGGTGGCTCCTACCCTGTGCCGGGCTCAGCTGCTAGTCCCGGCTGGGCTGGGGAGGTTGGGACTTCCTCTTCCCCGGCACGGCTTCTGGGGTCGGGTCAGACCCACCCCCAGATTTCTCCCCTGGCTGTAGGAAGCTCTGCAAACTCCCCACACACACAGTTCCTCAATCCATTGCTCCTCAGCTGCAGGGGGAGGGATTCCTGTACAGGGAGCTGCTCCCCCATCTACCCAACCCTGGTGCATCCAGACCCACTCATACCCAGACCCTCCCACCAAGCCTCACACCCCCTCCCGATGAGCCCCATTCCCACTGCATTTGGACCACCGAGATGAACCACACGCACCAGGATCCCATCCCCACCGCCTACACCAGAATCCCCACCCCACTGATCCCCACTCCCCCAGCATCTGAACCCCCCCACACCTAGACACCCTGCCGAGCTCTATCCCCCCCACTCCCAGACCCCCCACTGCTGAGCCCCAACCACCTTCATCTGGACCCCCTGCAGAGTCCCCCAACAGGCCCCTGTGCATCCAGGTCCCCTCCACACCCAGATCTCCTACTGAGCTGCCTGCACCCAGATTGCCCCACACAGAACCCTCTCAACCCACACCTGGATCCCCCCACACTTGGATCCTGCCTTGCTGAGCCTGCCTGCCTACACAGAGGGGCAGGGCCCTGGGGTGTTTCTGGGGGCAGGTCGGGTCCTTGTGCTGTGTCAGGGTTGGGTGCAGCCTCACCGCTGAGCCCATGTCCCGGCGGGGAGCTGCACAGCCATCTCCCACCTCTGTGCAGCCCAGTGGCCTGTGCTCCCCAGTGCCATGCTGGAGCCTCCATATTTATTTGACAAATAAAATTTGCAGAATTTTAAAATATTGTGCACAGAATTTTAATTTTTTTGGTGCAGAATGCCCTCAGGAGTAAAAGATAGCTCCACAAATGTGTGTGCAAGCAAATACAGTTTCTTAGCTACTGTTTGAACAATGTGACCTATCAAAGCAATGAGTTTTTACCCCTACTTACCTTCACTTGAATGTTATTAGAAACCTTCCAGGGAAAAAAAGATATTCCAATATTCTCAATGTGCAGTTGTGAAAACAAGTGTTGCAAGTTTAATAATTTTCTTACAAGGATGACAACATTTAACATTCAGAAAAAATACTTACTTGAAAGTGTTTAAATATTAATTCGGGGTTAAAATACAGTTGAAATGGTGTGATTAGTTCTAATTGCTGAAATACAAGAGAAAATATGTGACAGGATCAATCCATTAAAGTCCACTTCACTTACTGTAGAGACACAAATAACCTGTCAGTGGTACATTAATATTTCATGTTCTCTTATTTTAAAAATTATGTGCAAAGCCTAAATTCAGCCAACATATTCAACCTTATGTTCCTTTTACAGTCATGCTTGCCCTCCTCCTCTGCCTCCCCCATTTTGTCCTGTGCCTACTTATCACAACTTAGTCCTGTTTAGATTTCAAGCTAAACATCTACCCCGATATAACGCGACCTGATATACTACGAATTTGGATATAACGCAGTAAAGCAGTGCTCCGGGGGGCGGGGGGGGCTGTGCACTCCGACGGATCAAAGCAAGTTCGATATAACGCGGTTTCACCTATAACGCAGTAAGATTTTTTGGCTCCCAAGGACAGCGTTATATCGAGGTAGAGGTGTATTTGGTTTAGTGGCTTCCATTTTATATTTGTAAAGCACAAAAGACAGTAAGGCTTTGGTCCAGAGATCTGGATTTGGCTCATTTTACATCTGTAAAAGTTTCATTTCACATGCAGGGCTCTATAGAGCTATGAAACAGAATAGTCTTGACGGGCTTCTGACCACTACTATGACTATATCATTATTCATTATATAAGGCAAAAACTAATGATCTTTCTGCTTTAAGGAATGTCATCATCTTATATTTTTTCCACCACATAAAAGCATATCCTCCCTTTAATCTGAGAAATAACTACTGGAAGCTCACCCTAGTTTCACCCAAAAACACTGAGTTTTCAGAAGAATTTCTTGGCAAAGTTTTTCCTTCTCTACATTCCTTTCAAAATAAAAGAGGTTTCACAGAGTTCCCAGGACACAAATACTTCTTCAAAGACTACATGCAACGTATATATATGGTGCCAATAATGGTATGTTTATGTTGCACATTATGCATATGTGTCTAGAACATAAGAACGGCCACACTGGGCCAGACCAAGGATCCATCTAGCCCAGTCTCCTGTCTTCCAACAGTGGCCAATGCCAGGTGCCCCAGAGGGAATGAACAAACAAGTCATCATCAAGTGATCCATCCCGTCGCCCATTCCCAGCTTCTGGCAAACAGAGGCTAGGGACAACATCCCTGCCATCTTGGCTAATAGCCATTGATGGACCTATCCTCCATGAATTTATCTACTTTTATGTACCCCAAAGGCTCACATAGCTTCAAAAAGTGATATTATATTACATTATATTTTTTAAACTGACACATTCATCTTAAATAAGCATGTTTTTAGATTCCTTGTGTCCAGTCACTTGAACGTGGGAAACACTAGCAACCAGCAACCAATTTTCCATATATTTGCTTGGCCATCACTTTAGTAGCTACATTACTATAATAACCATTTTATGAAAGGGTTTTCCACACTTCTCTAGCGGCCTCATTAATAAGAAATTTTATAACTCTAGCAAAAGGCCGGCAAGGAATGGGACACCATTGGGCTGGGTGCTTAATGATTCTGCAGAGGCACAACGGTGAAACACCCTACATCTCAGGGTACAGCGGCTCTGTAATATAACTACCAGAAAATGAGTCTTGGAGAACTAATTCTCCCCTCTCCCCCCCAAAAAAAACCACAAACACACACACCATCTCATGTGGGTACCTGATTCCTTTTGAGGCCCTGTCCTTATCTGTGGTGCAACTGTTAAATGTCTTGCTCCTCTCACCCATTTCAAGTGCTGGTGGGTTTGGATTTTGTTTGTGCCTTCAGCACAGGCTGTGTATACACCTCCAAGAGGGTCCTACAGAAATGGTTCTCAACTAGGGGTATGTGTACCCCTGGGGGTATGCAGAGGTCTTCCAGGGGGTGCATCAACTCATCTAGATATTTGCCTAGTTTTACAACTACATAAAAAGCACTAGAGCAGTAGTACAAAGTACATTTCATAAAGACAACACGAGAAAGTCAGCAATTTTTCTGTGGTAGTGTAGTGACATTTTTGTATTTTTATGTCTGATTTTGTAAGCAAGTAGTTTTTAAAGTGAGGAGAAACTTGGCGGTCCACAAGACAAATCAGAGTACGGAAAGGGGTACAATAGTCTAGGAAAGTGGAGCACCACAGCCCTACAGGGTAAGGGAGAGACAGAACCACCAGGGCCCAATCCAGCAGGGAACTTAACCCCCAGGCTGCAGGGCCGTTCGGCGTCTCTGCACTGGACCGAACCCAGCCGCCCGGATTCAGAACCAGCAGAAACGCGGAGAGGGGGGGGGGTTTGGGGAGAGTGAGGCTGGACTCGGAGACCTAACCGGAACCGAGCCTGGCCCGGTCTCCGCGCGGCCACGCCTCACAAGCGGGGGCGAACCAGGACGCAGCCTCATCCCTCCCCCCCAGGGCGGCGCTCCAGCCCATACACAGCGAAGGGACGAGAACGAGGCCGCCGGCCCTGCCCTCAGGCCCACCCCGCTGCCCCACACCCTCCTGGCTCACCACGGCGGCGGTGGTGAGGACGCAGGCGGTGGTGTAGGCCCGGGTAACGGGCGGCACCTGCAGGTACTCCTGCCGGAAGGTCTGGTACGCCATTTTAAGGCTCCGCTTCCGCTTCCGCCTGCGCGACGGCTCGCCTCATTTCCCCCTCCCCCCCTCCGCACGCTACACAACCAATCAGCGCTGCCTCCGGCATCCAAAGCCAGCCAATCCTTCGCTTTCTTTTATCTCAGAGGTTTGAAGGGGGGGAAAGCCTTTCTTCCCGGACTCTCCGACGTCCCCAGTCAGACGTGCTTTGTGATTGGGCGGGGTATTTTCTCCCCACCCCCCCCCACCCCGGCGCTCCGATTGGTCTGGGAGGTGGGCGCTGAGCGCGCGGGAGGCGCTGAGTGGTGGCGCTCCTCCCGGGGGCGGGCGTTCGAATGAGGCGGGAAGCGGCGGCTGGGGTCCAGGCTAGCTCGAGTGAGAGCTGCCGTCCGCCCGGTGAGAGACCAAAGGGAGTGGGCGGGGAGGCTTCCCTACGCCAGCGGCCCCCTCTCACTTGGGAGCCGGGCAAGGTGGCGCCCCAATCCCAAAGGCCGCGGGAGCCTGGGCCCAGGCGACGGTTCCTACCGAGCCAAGAGGGAGCCAGGGCCTGAGGGCCCAAGCAGCCCCCACCCATTGGGCCCGGGGAGTGGTAGGGCCCTGGGGATAGAGCACCAGGGTGAGGGTTGGCGCTGTGCCTGCTGGGGGATCTAGGGCAAGTCATTGCCCTTCCCCGTGCCTCAGTTTCCCCATCTGTCCAATGGGGCTAAAGAGCCTGACCTGCTTTGTAAAGCGCTTTGAGATCTGCTGAGGAAAAGCTCCCAGTGAGAACTGCCTGCTGTTGTCTGCTCTCACCCTGTGCTGAATTTTCTCAGAGCCTAATGCTGTGGCTTAATTATCCCGGGGGATCTCCCCTCCCCCTTAATTATGACCAATGTCAGTCACTTAAAAACCTTCCCAAGGTGCCGGTCCGGTCCTTGGTCTGATTTGAAAAGGCTTGTACACAGTAGGGGTCTGTGACTGTTAGTGGGATAGAGGCTGGTAAACTGCTTAAAGGGGGAGCTCATCCTATTATAATGGACTAATCGGGGTCTTGGTCCTACCCTGTCAACACAAATGCCGGAGAAGACTTCTGTTGGAATACCTGCAGCACAGAGCCTTCACCTCCAGTGTGACAGGGAAACTGCTTTCATACACAGTGTGACAGTGTATTGATAATTATGTCTGCAGGGCTTTTCCAACCAGTTACGATATTGACATATTTATCTATAACAGTGGTCTCCAAAGTGGGGTGCGCAAGAGGATCATTGGGGGTGCGCAGCAGGAGGAGCGGGTTTTTTCTTTGTTTGTTTGTTTTTTGCTTCCGGAGTCTGAGTGGTTTTTTTTTTTTTTTTTTTTTTTTGGCTTTGGCAAAAATGGTAGAGCCGGTGCGGCAGGAGGTGCGTGCTCAAAAAATTTTTACTGATAGGGTTGCGCAATCAAAAAAGTTTGGAAACCACTGATCTATAACACAATGTAATATGTTCAGAGAGGTCTACAACTGTTGACACAATGCATCACTTGTGCATTCAAACACTACAAAAGAAGGTTCTATTTACATTCTACAGAATCCCTCCTTGGGCCTAATAACAATAGAATTTAGATTTTAATGTAAGGTTCTAGTCATGGTTAGCACTGGTAATAGAATAGGATGTAGTTTCCTCTGAGTCAAAGACTGGCAAATTATGTCCTGCTGGGCAGAGAAAGGACTAGATTAAGAACCAAATTCTTTAAATTCCCCTAAATTCAAACTTGAACTCTGCTCTTCATAAGTGAGGTTAATGCTGTAATAGACTGCTAATACAACTCACCCTTTCCAAAATACAGATTTGTACTTATGTTCCTTTTTTCCTTTACAGATTTCCACATTGTCTATGGTTGACTTCTTTTAGCCAAGATGTCAGTGAATCCTATGGCATATGAAGCCCAGTTCTTTGGTTTTACCCCTCAGACATGTATGCTTAGGGTCTACATTGCATTTCAAGACTACCTGTTTGAAATGATGCTGGTTGTGGAAAGAGTCATTCTGAAGAAACTAGAAGGCTTTCCTGACTCTAAGATCAGTCCATTCCAAATCCGTAAGAGCACAGAGAAATTTCTTCTCTTCATGAAGGAGCGCTTTGATCACCTCTTCAGCAAAATGGAACAAATGCTTTTGCAGTTGGTGTTAAACATCCCTAAAAATGTTTTACTTCCTGAAGACAAGGTCCACGAGCAGTACCCCTACAGTAAGGAACAGTTTCAAACTCTTCAAGGTGAAATTGATCAACTACAGAAACAATACAAGGTCGAAGTGTCTGCTGGACAGGCCCTTTTAGCAGAATTAGAAGAACAGAAAATGGTTCAGGCAGAACTTGAGAAGACCCTCCAGTGGTTTGATGGGCTTGAGAACATATGCAGAGAGCACGGGACTAGCAATTTAAAGGAAAGCTTTGCATTCTTGACGCAAACTTCTAAGAAACTGCAAGATATACTAAAGGAAGTTGAAAAGAAAAACAAAAGATTGCAAAAAAGTAGTCTCCATGTAGTGTAAAGGAAGTACTGAAAGGGCATTAGAGAAACCAATAAGACAATACTTTTGTTACAATACATTTTTTGAGGATCTCTCCAGAAGCATTTGTATATAAGGTTTTGGGGGTTTTGCCTCCTCTTCCTTGCCATACCAGTTTTTGACTGAAAGCTGGTGAGTGCAATATTCTGGCAAACCATCATTTTCCCCTCCTGAATTCTATAAATACTGCATCAACATTTCTTTAAGTAAATAACCATATCCCCCTAAGAATGTCTAAATGAATTGTCTGAATGGTAGAGGTGCAGATGCAAAATAAGTGCATTGTAATAAAGACTTCAATTCTCTGCACTAGTTCATTTAAGCAACCTTAGTAGATAGGAAGCTTTTTCTTTAATGTAGAATAGGTTAGAAGCATCTTAATCTTAAACTATTTTTTGGAAGTCAAGACTTGTCAGTATTGAAATGTTCCATTTAGAAATGTAAGAATGTGACATCATAGTAAAACTTAGGCCTTGAGGAGAAATACATTTAATAAATGTTGGAGTTGGAATTAATCTAGACACTGGTGAGTGGTTTCTAAAACAGAGGGGTTAGTTATTACTTCCAGTATTTAAAAAAAAAAGGGGGGGTGAGGGGGAGTTGATATTCTGAAGGAGTTAACAAAGACAGGACAGAGGGCCTGGATCTTTCCTGTTTCTTGTGGGAGCATTTCACAAATATTAATCAGTAGTCACAAACCTATGTACAGTAGGTGATTATACCAATTTTGCAAATGGATAGAGTTAGTTTTGCTTTGAGCAGGAGGCGCACACTGTACAGTGCTGTGTGTGATAAGAGACGGATATGAGCTAAAGCGGAATAACTCAGACTCTGGACTGCTTTGAAAGTTTTCTCGCACCATAGTATATGTCGTAGTGTCAGCACAGCATTATACATTGTGTGACTCTTGCTAAAAGCAAAACTTAGTTTGCCTATTTATACAATGGGTATATTCACCTACCTTACATGGGTGTTGTGAGGACATTAATATTTGTGAAGTCCTTTGAGGTCCTTTAATTAAGCTTACTTTATATGGACTTGTTCCACAATCCATCAAAGTAAATGTGAATCTTTCCATTGACTTCAGTGGCTTTTGGATCAGCCCTTATTTGCATATTAGTATAGTAAAAAGAAGCTTAATTTTACAGAGGCAAAACTTCCTTACTTTTTAAAAGATACTTGCTTGAACAATGTTTAACTTCTGTATAACTTGAGAGCTACTAAAATAAAAATTATACATAAAGTGACAAAATATATTTTTTCAATGCATTCTGAAACTATACTATGAAATATTCTATGAAATTTGTCAAATACCTGAAGATTTCTGGATCAGCTCAATATGCTCAAAGAACAGGTCAACAAATTTCAAGTGTCCACTGATTTTGTGAGCCCAGTGTGACATTGTGACTCACCTTGGGCACCCGAAGTCAGTGTCCACATCTGAAAATTTGGCCAAAGACGTTAACATTTAACACTAGTCTTTGTGTGAACTAACGTGCATTAAATAATACCTAAAGATTTTCTAATGGAAATCATTCTAAAGTATCTTATTTAGAGACTCATTTTGTATGTATCACTTAAAACAATGTTTATTTTTCTGCATTTTTTGATCAGTAAAATCTAAGTGTTTATTTCCCCACCACTCATTCTTACATGTAGTAAGCTTCTGTGCTACTGTATGGCTGCAGCTAAAACTATAGTTAGAGGATTAGGAATAGATACTGAATAAGCAGATTAATTTTTAAGATGCAGCTTAGCCTGTCTTTTATAAATAAAGTACATAGTTGTGTTTAACTTTTTCTTCCCCCAAATTGCAAAGACTACTGCCCATACTTTGAACTAAACATGCCAGTTTATGAAAAGTCATTCATCTGTCACTTTGTAGAACTTGCATCCTTTTATCATATTCTTCTATTAAGAGTGTGATTTAAGTGAAAAGTAAATAAACATTCCAATAACTCATAAGATAGTGTGATACATTTTTCTGTTACTGCGCTAGAAAAATATCATTCAAAAATCTTCATTGCTAATGCAATTTTTTTTTTTTCTGCGATATGACTGCAACAAACCTGTGGATATTGTTTTGTCAGACAGCCACAAGGGAGTTAGTTTTCATTCTGAACAACAGTGAATGTTAATTGTAAATCTACAGCAGGACAAAAAAAATAAATTGGTAATTTTAATGTAAAATTAAGTAAACATTTGGATGTCAATAGTAAGAGTACAGTAATAGACATTTGGCAAGGCAGGAGATGAAGAATACAGATACCATCTTTTCTTTAAGGTACAATTAAAAGCTCCTTTCTGAGCCTTACAAATCTACTGTGTGCTTATTTAAATAGGTCCATAAAATGAGCTATAGCACAAGAATTATGTTGATTTTTTTATAGTAAGGAATAAAAAAAGTCCATGTGGGGACAGGGAGTGGTAGGTGAAGACACCCTCCCACCCCCAATGATACTGATAGTGTTTATCATTCATT